GATGATGTAATTGCTGTATCAGAGAAAGTGTTGAGAGAGGGGCCCCGAGGAGAACTACAACATACCCCACAAAGAGACAGACATAATTGGCTCTCATGGGTACCATTTGCTATTTCTTTTACTTGATTTTTCTCTATTTTTGATTGCAGACTAAAATGGCCTGTTCTTTAAAAAAAAAAAAAAAAATTGAGGGATTGCTGTACTCCTTGGAAAGCAAGTTACCTGAAACTTGTAAGTGCTGTTGACACAGCTACTGGTTCAGACAGTATACATAGTTTGCAAGCAAGCTGAAGCTGACGGCTGTGTACAGAGATTCAGTTGGCTGCAGGCAGCTGATCGGTCTGTGAGCAATTGACCAGTTATTGTTGACGAAGGCCTCCTGCTTGCCAATAACTGTGATCAGTTCTCAGGCATAGAATTATAGAATCCCTACAGTGCGGACAATGGCTATTCAGCCCATCAAGTCTACACTAACCCTCTGAAGAACAACCCACCCAGACACCTCCCGTGCCCCCCAACAAACCTTATCCCTGTAACCCAGGTAGCTGAACAGCTTGTGGGAGTGTACAAGAGAATGAGAAACCATCAGATCTCTGTAATCTCAGGAATGCTGGCTGTTGTCTGCAGTAAAAGTCAACTTTAAGCCTGAAGAAAACCAGGAATACGTTGAATACAAGACATGATATTTGAAGAAGATATGGGAGGCAGAGAGCAGGAAAGATGTGGATCTCATGAGGTGGCAAGAGCAGCTGCCCAAGCAGGAGTGCATTTAAGATTTATCCCTGTAACCATGGTGAATTCGAAACATGAAGGATAGAATATCAGTTGGAATCTGTGTGGGTTAAATTGGAGTTGAGGCAGGCATGAGGCAGTGTAGTGGTATGGCGGTTAGCACAACTACCTCACGGCACCAGGGACCCAGTTTCAATTCCAGCCTTGGCTGACTGTGCAGAATTTGTACATTCTGCTCTTGTCTACATGGGTTTCCCCTGGGTCCTCTGGTTTCCTCCCACAGTCCAAAGATTTGCAGGTTAGGTGTGTTGGCCATGATAAATTGTCCTGGAATGTGCAGGCTAAGTGAATTAATCATGGTAAAAGCGGAGTCATGGGAATAGGGTAGGGGACTGGGCTTGGGTAGGATGCTCTCTGAAGGGTTGGTGCTGACTGGATGGGCCGAATGGCCTCCATCTGTGCTGTAGGGTCTCTGTAATTCTAGAGGCAGCCACTGAGCAAGGCTGTGAAAGCAAAGTTACATAAACACCTTACCAGACACGAGGTGAGAAATAAAAAGCAGCGAAGATGAATAGTCTCAAAAGTTGAAATGGAAATCCCTTTGGAGAGAAGAACAGAACTTTTTCAACGTGGGCTTACCTGGAAGAAATGTAAAATACTCAAAGAAAAGCAAAGTATTGTGAATGCTGGAATTCTGAAATAAAAGCAGGAAGGACTGGAGAAACTCACGTTGAGCAGCAACGATAGAGTCTAAAGGCTGTTTCTTTTTGATTATGGACTGAAATGGAAAAAGGGATGGTGTAAAAGTGAAGGATTGTTGAAGCATTACTCAATTTTTAAAATTAAGTTTCCTGACACTCATTTTAGGTGCTGTTTAAACAGCTATTGGTCAGGCAATGGAAAAAGCCTAGTTCGAGGTGAACTGGAGCAAGGGGGCTATGTACGAATGGAGCGTTGGCTGGCAACAAATAGCTAATTGGTCTGTGGACTAGTAATCAATAATCAATGAGAAAGGCCAGCACTCAACTGAGGGTTTGGCTCCCAGAACGGCTTGTGGCTGTAAATGTTGAGACAGATGCCATCGAACAACTAGAAGAAAAGGAGCTGTTTTAGTAAGAAGCATGTCATGCCTGAAGATAGTTTATTTCCTTTCATCAGCTGGCGTAAGCTGAGAGTTTGGTAAGTCAGAAACCTTTTAAGCATTAACCAGTCACCCCATGCCTCCTACAAGCAACAGAAAGTACCTGGATGATCTGCAAAAGGATCTTCCCAGTGAATCCTGTGGACAAAGAGCGCTGAACTGCATTCCGAGTCTTTTCCAATGCACATGACAACCATGTTTTTCTCCCTTTCTTTGTGTATCAGTATGTACGTGAGAAGGGAGAATTTAAAAGGGAATTAGAGTTTCACCTAGTTGAGTTGTATGCTTATTGTTCACAATTTACCTTTACCTTTGGTAGCCTATTGTAACATGTTAAGTAAAGTAACCTGATGCATATTTTCTGTCAATCTGTGATAACTCCAGGAATAGTAGTGCTTGATTTTCAGCATGTTAGTCCAGTGAAGCGTAGCATAGGGAGAGAAACAAAAGTTAATGTTTTGAGTCTAATGACTCTTTGTTGCAACTGAAATTGCCTAAAAAATGATGGGTTTTATGCTGTTGACAAAGAATACAGAATGAGTGCTATTATTCACGGAGAGGGGATATTGATTAAGAATTGATGTTAATTGCGTTAATGTTCATAGCAGAAGATAGCTGAGAGCAAACACAGTGAGAGGTTGGGGGGTAGGGCTATTAATGGAAGACAGTGTTCATGCTCTGAAGTTGTTGAATTCAGTATTGACAGCTGAAGTTTGTAAAGTGTCTTAAATACGAAATGAGATGCTGTGTCTCCAGCCTGCATTGGCCTTCGCTGGAATACTGCAATAGGCCCAGGACAGAAATATTAGCAAGAGATCAAGGGGTCAGATGTTTTCTGAACTGGCAAAGTGGTAAGGTCTTTGCTGAATGAATAAATGTGCTCCTCTTTAACAGAGCCGCAGTAGAGCTGTTTGAATGTTGCCAAGCTGCTTGTTTGAGTCTCTTGTGTTGACTCTGCTGTTCTGTTTTGTTTTTGTGGTTGCAGGGTTTGTAAGCTATGACAACCCAGTTTCCTCACAGGCTGCCATACAAGCAATGAATGGCTTTCAGATTGGCATGAAGCGCCTTAAAGTTCAACTCAAGCGCTCGAAGAATGATAGCAAGCCATACTGACCTGTCGTCAAAATAAACTTGAGTTTAAACTGTTCGCTGGTAAGTTGGGCACAGCTGTGGAAACAATCGTGAGAGGGGGTAGTCGTCAAACACTTCGAGTAACCCCAACGTGACTGGGGCCATTCTCTGCATGCTCAGTCTTTCCGTGTGAGTGATTGCGTGCGTGTGTTTCTTTTATGTTTCATTGACAAGATTAACAGGATCAATTTCTGTTCTAAATTTTAAAATTTTCTCTCTGCACGCACATGTACTGATGCTCAGTACAAGGGTAGGCTGAACGTATTTTTCTTCACTGAAATTTTTAGCTGCCATATCATTTACAAGTTGGAGTTTGCTGTGTACTGATGGCTGATTATGTTACTGGAGAGAATGGAGACTGTTCAGTGGTATCTGTCAAAGTAATCCCTGTGGATCTACCCCGCCCTCCCTGGCATTCTGAGGATTGAAGGATGTTCAGTCTGAACTGCTGCTTGTCATGTTTGTGTCTTACCCTGTGAGACTCATACTGTTGTATTATTTGTAGTGATGATGGTGGAATGGAGATTGAGCAGCTACTAATGGCAATCTTGTCAGTTCCATTTTCTCAATGTGCCAATGCTGCTGCTTTCTATTCCTCCTCCGTCAACATTTCCCTTTCCCACTCTTTCACTTCTTACCCTTTTCTCACAGTTCTCCTCTCCTGCACCCTTTTTCTTCCAACACACCCACTCCCATTTCTTACCCCTCGCTTCTTACCTCGTCCATGTCTGAGTTCTTATCCAAACTCTCTCACCTGCTCCTTTCCCTCTGTCCCACTCTGTTTCTCCCTCTCTGTGTGGCTCTGTCTGTCCCTACACCCTAACCTCGTTGTGTCTTTCACACCCTCCCTCTCCCTTCTTGTCTGTCTGTGTCTATGTCTCGAGTGTATTGAGTGTCACTCTTTCTCTCTGTCTCTTGGGTGCATTCCCCCTCTGTGGTGTGCTCGCTCCCGGGTGTCCATGTACCTCTCTCGCGCACACAAGCGTCACTGTATCTCTCTCACTCTCTCACGAGCGCCAGTGTGTGTGCCTCTCACTCTCTTTCCCCCTGTCTCTGTCTCTCTCTATATCGAGTGTCTGTGCGTCTCTCTCGAGCGAATGTGCGTCTCACTCTCTCCCTCTCTCGAGAAAGAAAGTCTGTGTATCTATGTCTCTCCCCCTCAATTGTCTCTCTCTCAAGTGTCTGTGTGTGTCTCTCTCAATCTCTCAAGTGTCTGAATGTCTGTCTCTCTCGACTGTCTATGTGTGTGTGTCTCTCTCTCGAGTGTGTGTCTGTCTCTTGCTCTCTCTCTCGCTCTCGGGTGTGGGTGCTCTCTCTCGCTGCTCTCTTTCTCTCGAGTGTATGTGTCTCTCCCTCTCTCTCTCTCACTCTCTTGAGTGTGTGTCTCTCTCTCTCTCACTCTCTTGAGTGTGTGTCTCTCTCTCTCTCTCTCACTCTCTTGAGTGTGTGTCTCTCTCTCTCTCCCTCTCGAGTGTGTGTGTCTCTCTCTCTCTCCCTCTCGAGTGTGTGTGTCTCTCTCTC